TCACACCATATGCAATCATAGGATATTTTTAGTTCGAAAGATATTTGTCCAAATTGACTACAAAATAGTACAAATGCAAAACATAAAAAAAGAAAATGTTTGGTGAGTGAAGTCCAAAGCCGTATTATAGATTATTTGATTGTGTAATTACAAGGTGAGAGAAAATAAATCCACATTGTCCTATTAAACTTGTATTTTTCAATTTGTTAGTACATTTTTCTCAGAAAAACCTTTTCTAAATTAAAGTAAATTATTTAAAAAGGTTGAATAGTTGAAATTGAACGTAAACTGTGTCAAACACCACTCCTGAAATTGACTTTGGTTGAAGTTTATTATAATATTGATATTATATAAAGATCTATATATATAACATTGATTAAGCCTTATGGGTCCCTTTTAAAATATATATATATTTTGTATAATGTTCTGGGCTGACAGTGCCTTATTTTCAATTTGAAAACACATGGCAATTTTATTAATACAGCAGATGAAAAGATTTGCAATTCTTCATGGGTGTCATTGGCTCTCTAGATAAAGGCAGTATCTGTTTGCTAACCTCAGATATTGATTTATTTAAATAAGTGACCTTTGAATACATATTGCAAACATAGCCTTAAAAAGGTGCAGGAAAAGGACTTGAAATATTACTTAAAGACTGGACTTTTTAATTCAGTCAAGAGAAGAGAAAAGAGAAGAAAGGAAAGAAAATTGTTATAAGGGGTTATTAATGAGAGACATAATATGGCTAGGGAGGCTGTGGCTGATGGTGCGTTGATCTTCGGATCAGGGGGGACTGGTTCAATCTCCACTGCAGTCAGCATGTCGTTGTGTCCCTGGGCTTCACCCCAAATAGCCCCTGTGAGGATTGTCCACAGTATTGAGTGTATGTAAGTCGCTTTAAGGTAAAAGCAACTAACAAGTGACATGTAGAGGTCAGTGGCACTCAGACTCTACAGGGATCATTTTTTGATCATGGGGCATCACCCTTGTACAGCATCAGGACAATATCTCTATGGAGTCAGACACTGAAAGTGTACTGGAGGCTGATGCGTTGACTGGGACTGATGGAAAGATGAGGCTGATGAGACTGAAGAATCTGCGAGCAACGAACTAGGGGCAGAGAAATAATCATATTTTAACCCTTTAATTGCCAGACCAAGAAGAAATCTATGGACAAATTATTTCTTTGCATTTTTTTATCAAATAGGACAAATAACCACAAACCATTTTTTTTTTTTTTACTGACCACACGGTTTTGTTTTTATGAGCCTCTACCAACTGGTCGAGCTGGCCTTGGTAAAAGTGCATTTTCAACAATCATCATATAGTACAGTATTTGTATGCATCAAACTCAAATAAAACACAAACTCAAATACATGTTTTTCTTTTATGGAAGATGAGCAATATATACAACCAGATATATTCATAAAAAATAATAAATAATTATTGTAAAACAAAAAAGAAATCGAAAAAAGTAATGGAAAGTGTTTTTCATTATAAAAAGTTTGGCCTAACAACAAACAACTGGCCTAACAGCAAATGTCTATATCCTGTGTTGGCCTAACTTGCTCATCTGTGTGCAACTTTGGGCTGCATTTCATGCATGAAAGGTGCTATATAAATTATTATCGCTCTTTCACTCTGAGACTCATAAGGCAGCACTAGATTTAGTAATATTACCATGAATCTAGCCATTTATTTACCATATTTTATTGGAAAACATCTCTGAAACTCTGAAAAAGTCATATTGCTAGTTTACCATAAAAGGCCAATTCGACCAGTTGGTTGAGCATATTTTCAAAAAAGTAATTACACCCTTGTTACAAAAATGTTTTGTGCATCAAGTTATATAATTCTGTTCAGTTGGTGCTCTGACACTAAAATATGTCAAAAATGATATGGTTACCTTACAAAAGTTGACCAAAAAGAGTGATTTCTTCAGGAGTGATTTTTAGCATGCCAACTTTCTCAGTGGAAGCTAGCTGAAGGGCTTTCTGTTCGAACCACAGTGACATCTAGAGGTTGTTTTGTGCATAACATGTAAACCAAAACGATAGAGCTGGCTGAATCAGATGGAGTTACACTTTTTTATTTATTTTTCAACAAGATATCAAAACACAAAATGTGCTCTACCAAATGGTGGCGCTGGCTGCTAAAGGTTAAGACAGCATCATCATAAGAGGCCAACAAGAGTGACAGGGTGTCTACCATATCCTCTTAAAATACTCTGTCCAACAATATAAGTCGAATGACACATTTTTATTTAAGATGCATTCTTGTACTAAGGAGGGGAATTTGAAAAAGAATACCTGAAAAAGTACTTGTTGGTGTAGTTAAATTAGTATACTGAGTCAAACAGTATCACTCTCATTAAGAATTGATGGCAGAACATCATTTTATCTCTCATCAAAGATAGCAGAAAACATGCATTATTGTACTCAAGAGGGGAGTTTGACAGAGTACACAGTAAAAGTACTCTAAATAGTTATTATCAATCCTCAACCTCCAAGCTATTTTAATATAGATTTGAAGAAAAAAACCTCGATGCTGACTTGACCACGCAAACGGGAAATATGGCCGCATCAATTCAGCAGTGTCAGTAACATCAAACAGAGAGGTACTCATACTTTATTTATAAGATAGGGATTCATGGCTGACAGTGCAAGACAGACAGCCAGATAGACAGATCGCGAGACAGACAGACAGACAGACAGACCAACAGACCGACAGACGCGCAAACACATACGCACCCACACACGGACAGACTGTCTTCTGTATGTTTTGCATGTAGCCATATATTCAATGTATATTCGTGCAAACACGCACTGCACTGTCTAGGCAAAGAGTATGAACCTTTATTTTGAAGAGTACAGCGCAAGCATAGGGCAAACTAGCCAATCAGAAGCAAGGAGGCACTGGAGACCCACCCACCTATGGAAACGAAACATTGAGTGGTATACTTGTTTTAACAGTAAGAACAGAAAAACGAAAAAACGAGCTGAATTTCCGTTTTTTGGTTTTGGGGCAAAATTGAAAAACAAAAAAACGACCCGTTTCTGTTTTATTATTAGTTTCAATTAGAACTAAAAAACAAACGGTTAAAACGTACCTTGGTCCAGGAGAGGGTGATCTCACAATAAAAAAGGGTGGGATGTTTTTATTTTAAAGAAATAGCTCAGTTTATTCAGGGTTAAATGCGTTTCTTCACAATGTGAAAATTATATATTTTCTTCTGAAGTCAATTTCCAGAGGGCATCGCTGTTACAATCTTTTCTTTTGATATCACTCATGCAGAGGTCTTTCCTAGATATATCAAAATGTATATTTTTTAACTGTGGGGAAACTTCATTTGGTCAGGGACTTTCAATATAGTCATGTTTCTGCTGAAACAACGTTTAAATCCTTCAGTTATGGTAATGCTAACTTTCTTGAGCTCGACAAGACAATTGATAGTAAGAATTGAAATACTAAACACTATTTTCGTTTATTTTTCAGCGTGCTTAACAGTGTAATTAATAATGCAAACCATAAATCAATGCGAAATATAAAGTATTATTATTAGGGCATGATGATTGTCCATAGTTAATCGCAAATTAATCGCACATTTTTTATCTGTTCTAAATGTACCTTAGAGGGATATTTTTCAAGTTTTTAATATTCTTATCAACATATGAGTGGACAAATATGCTTTATATGTGAATGTGGAGACACTGTGATGGATCGTTGGAGCTATGTGCAGCTCAAGGCATATATGCTCGAACGGGAGCTGCCTGGACGCTGCAATCATGTTGCACGCACTATCCGTGCTGAGTGTGCTGACTTTTCGTACAATGTCCCACTGTCTGGCTACCTGCATAAAGTCAAGTGCTCGGCGCAGTTGTCGGCGAAATGTCGCTCCTCTGTTTTCATTGAAACTCCTTATATCCGTTAGCGCAGCTAGCTAGCACCAGATGCTAACAACAACAACAACACGTAAGGTGTGCCTCGCTCGCGCCACACATACACACACCCTCCCGGTCCTCCCGATGGCCAGTCCGGGCCTGCCGGTGAGCGTGGAAGTGTGGTCTGCCACAAGCGGGCGGCAGGAGCGGGGCTGTCAACATCAGCTTGTAGATGGTATTTTAAACTCGATGCGCTCTGAAACTACGGGGCGGCCGAGGACACAAAATACACATGCGTTAATCGCGTTAAAATAATTAGTGGCGTTAATTTCTTTTTGCGTTAACGCGTTATTAACGCGTTAACTTGACAGCCCTAATTATTATCTTTGACTAATCTCAACAGAATTAATCTCAACAGAATGCATACAAGTAGACATTCATTACCATAATCACTGGCTTCCAGTTATTGCTAGAATCCACTTCAAGACAATGGTACTTGCGTACCATGCTGTGAATGGATCTGGCCCTTCCTACATCCAGGACATGGTTAAACCATACACCCCAGCACGTGCACTCCGCTCTGCATCAGCCAAACGGCTTGCTGCACCCGCACTGCGAGGGGGACCCAAGTTCCCATCAGCAAAAACATGTCGGTTTGCTATCCTGGCTCCAAAATGGTGGAATGAGCTCCCCATTGAAATCAGGACAGCAGATAGCTTGCACATCTTCCGGCGCAGACTGAAAACTCATCTCTTTCGACTCCACTTCGAGCGATAGAAGCACTAACAAAGAATTGCTAACAAAGCACTTATATACTAATAAAGGACTGGCTTATCTAAAGCCAGTTGAGTAGCACTTGAACTGTTTTAGCTCTATGAAACCTGATGTACTTATATGATTCTGTTTTCTTCAAGTTTGTATCTTGTTGGTCGAATGCACTTATTGTAAGTCGCTTTGGATAAAAGCGTCAGCTAAATGCAATGTAATGTAATGTAATAATCAACTGGCTGTAAAAGCCTTCAAATTTGTAGGATCTTAAATCTCCTAATCTATAACCTCTTAAAATAATAAATTCTGTGTCATCTTTGTAATACTCAAATAAGTCAAACAGACACAAGACACAATTATAATAATCTTTTTAATTAACAGTCTTTATGACATTTTGATGAATCATCGCTATCAGAAGTAAAACTATTTCAGTCAGTCGGTCAATGACCTTTCAGGGCCTGGGTGGGGTTCTTTGAGAATAGGTGACAGGACAGTTGGTTTTGTTAGACGCAGACACAAGGTGGAATGATGTCTTAAGGAATGGAAGATGCTGCAATTTGAGGACGCTGGATTGTTTATTCAACTCCTTTCATGAACTCAAGGAACTCTGTCAAAGAGAATGCACAAAGTTAAAATAGATTGATATATCATCTTTATAAAAACAAAATGGTGTGTACTGATCACATTAAATGTATTTTACAGATTATTTAACTCAAAAGAAAACAGTGGGTAGCTTTGTTCAATTTAAGTCTTTTTTGTTGTTGATATAATCATAATGCACTTTATGACTGAAAAGCATAATACAGTCTGTGAGTGATCTATATATCTCCATAATGAAATGAAAGCATTTAGTGATATTCAGGACTAGGACTCACAGGTTTATCTTTTTGGGGATTCCTTTAAGTAAAAGGTGTATTTAATTCCAGTGGCAAACCTGAAGAGGACTTAAGTTTCCTGCAAACTTGAATTGCAAATCCAAAATATTTGCATCCACATGCAGTGACCAATAATTTCCCCTCTCTAGTATGGAGATAATATCATGCCATTACTCCACAAACAAAATAAACGTGTTTTACAAATGCCTTATGATTCACTAACAAACACAGTGTAGTTTGCAAAAATCAAATCACCATCTTCAAACTAATGCATTACATTTTGCAAATGAAAAGCGTATCTATCAAACAAACACATTACATTTTTCTTATAAATCATGTTTCAGTCACAAACACAGCACAGGTTTTACAAGTACATACAAATATTTTCTACGAATACAAACGCAGAAACAAATACAGCATAGGTTTTACAAATACAAAACCTTGTTTTCTACGAGTACAACAAATAAATCCTACAGAGAAAAAGAATATCACGTGACTTTTGGCAGGAAAATTCCGTTTTGGTTGTGCTGAGTATTTTCTCACAAATGTCCTGAGTTATTCTCCACAGAAGCAGGGGGCACTACTGAGTCTATTTAAATGGAGGGGGGTTGAGCAGAGCAAGTAACAGCCCCTGCCAGTCTGATGACAGCGTGTTTCTAGCGATCTGATAGAATTAGGAATCACAAATACTGAGTGTGAGTGGCACTTTCTGGGGATTTTAGTTTAAAAACCAAAGCTCATCCTAAGCTTTCTGCAAAGCTGCATTCATATGAAATGTGATTTGCTCTTTGCTCAGCACGAGGTTGGGTGCGATTCTTGCAGTAAAAAACAGCGAATTACTTTTCACTTCTGTGGTTTTGTTTCTTCGAGCTGCTTCATACAGCTGTCATCTGATTGGTTGCTTGTGGTAAAGTCAACAGCTTACGTCATCAACATTTACATTATTTGAACTTAGAGCGCAGCGAGAGAGAGAGCAGGGGCGGATCTACCGGGGTGGCATGGGGTGGCAACTGCCACCCTAAAAAATAGCCTTGCCACCCCGGCTGCCACCCCAGTTTGCAGCTTTGTTTTGAAATAAAAGTTGTGGCTCATCGGACATTTATGAGAGAAAATCCCTAATGTCCGAGTCCAAGTGAATGCAGCACAAGACGCGAGTCTTGTAACCCCTCCCCCGGCCCTGGCGTGAGCGGGGAAATATGATTGGGCTTGTTTGAGATGAGCTGCGGCTCGCCTCAAAAGTAGACGAGAATAGCCGATTGCAGCCAGGGGAGGTCTCAAAAAGCTCGCCTGAAGTCGGACAGCTCGGAGTTGGCTTGACTCGGTTTGCAATGGCGGAAATTGCGTTGGCGTTCTTCGTTGCAGATGAAGTGGATGCAATAGAAATCCCACAATTATTATATCACTACAAATGAATGACTCAAGGGTCTGTTCATTTTAAAACAAATCAATACAAGGGGGGTTGAATCCTACATGTAAAAGACAGAACCACTTATTACTTTTCAAAACTACTTCCGTCAGTGGTCTTGACCAGTTTGCATTTATAAAGAATGCACAAATGTGTATAATCGTTAATGTCAGATATGTTAATGTTCCTGCTCAAGATTAGATTCAACTTTATTGTTATTGCACAGATTACAGGTACTGAGACAACGAAAAGCAGTTTAGCTTCTAACCAGGAGTGCATAAAGCAGTAAAGTGAAAAGTAATGTACACAATCTACAGAATAAAATATAGAATGAATTGAATGATGAATAAACAGTGAGGGGTATGAATACACTAGATATACACAGTAGCCTGTGAGCAGTATTAACAGTGTGTATGAATATGCTAAGATATATAAAGTATGAAAACGGTAAGCAGTGCAAGTATAGTATAAAATATATAGATATTAATTTCAAAGGCATCAAGAGCTGCCAGCCAGCAAATTGGTGCTGTGGGAACCAACACACGGGCATCGGTCATGAGGACGTCGCAGACTAACATACGTGGACGTACTCAAGAATGACGCAGGAGCACAAAGTACCAATGAACTGGCCAGATGTATGGAGAACCGGGATGACTGGAAGCGACGATGGAGGGCTCGTCTGAGGACGACCTAGAGAGAGATCATGATAAACATTGTGGAAAAATGATGAAAAATGTGAATGGAAGTGGCGACGTAAAACTGACACAAAACAACAAAAAACTTTTGCCGAGCCAATTGGACCAGCACGGGGTAAAAACCACCAATGAGCGCTCAGCTCGATATACCATCAAGCATTTAGCTTCCGCAGCCCGTGGAGAGAAACTGCGCCGCCTCGCTCTCAAGTCTGCGGGCGTCTTTGTCCCGCGAGATTTCAACGTCTCATGTAGGCGAGCCTCCAGAGCAAGTCGGACAAAATGACTAACCATCATGCAACGCACTAGCAAGACGGCGATCGCAATTGCGCAGGTCTGCGTCGGTCTCGCTCATCTCAAACAAGCCTTATGATTCGGACCCAAGTAGACGGAAGGAATGAGGTATTTGCGGTCTACAATGACAGAGAAGAGACTGTCAAGTTTGGCTGTACTCAGCATTGAATCAAAACACACTAAAGCTTTGGATCTTAATACTTTGTGAGGCGTTTTGCTGAACAAGATGGTAATCGCCGCATTCAGCTGTAATAGGCATGCCAACTTGATGCTCTGCTCACGGATGAGCATAAAAAACTGTTAAGATGATGACCTTAAGTGTATTTTTTTTTTTTTTTTGAAAAAACTGTTTTAAGTCCTGAGAAAGTCAAATAAGACGGTGTGTGAAACTTCACTGCCCAGCCAAACAAAAGTAACCACTTTCATATAACTAGGCCAGTAGGTAAGGACTTTCCACTGGATAATAACTGCAGCGATGTGTTTTAGCTGAATACACGTTTTTTAACCCTAACTGATGCAGTTAGTCACTTCTTTAATGTTTGTTCTTTCTGATGTAAAGTCAAGGTTGTAACTGTTTGCAATGAAGTTGTGGGGCGCTGAACTGTTCTTTTGATTCTTATGAATTTTGATACATGATAGTAATTTGTCTTTCAAATTTGAAGGAGGGTGAGCAAGCATCTTGAGGAACATTCATCATTAACTCCTCCAAAAAAATATAGTTTATTCAATAATAAATGAATATGTGAATCATAACAGTGATTGACAGCTGATAGGAATAATATGATTGTTTATAGTATCATATTCATTCAGACAAACATCGACGAGACAGTTAATTAATGTACTTATTGCAGCAGTCTTCATAGATTTGGTTCCCCTGCTGGTCTAAGAGTGAAACAAACTCATTCAGTTATTGTTCAGTGAAAATTCATTAAATGATGTCTGCCACCTTATATATTTATATGTAAGGCTTTACTGATGTGCCACAATAATGTCACCTATGTTATTGAGTTAAAATATTAATATTGTGGCTTTCCAAGTTAACATTGATTGATATGACTGCGATTAAATCAGCATATACTTCTGCCAGGGGATGCCACCCTTCAAAATCTCCTGCCACCCTCTTGCCACCCCATGAATATTTTTCTAGATCCGCCCCTGAGAGAGAGAGAGAGTGCTCCGTTTATTTCCTGTGTTATTTTCCAAAGTCAATGTAAACTTTTGAATAATGTAGTTCATCTACTATTAGTAGTTTGTTTAAATGTATTAATAATTTTGTTTTTAGTTTGAAGAAGTGTACCATTTCTTGATTTATTGTAAAATGAATCAAAACCCTTTGATCTAAAATGTGGTCAATACATTTTATCTAAAGTTTACCACTTGCTGGTCCGAAGTAAGATCAAGTCCTCGGGGGGAGCAAGAATAGTCAGTCAGTTTGAAATAATAGAGGCAATGTGGCAAGGCTGCATACTTTTGCTAATATGAGCCGCAATACAGTCTAATCTGAAAATCTGAAAAACTGTACAGACGGTTATTAGAGTGCTAAAATACACATACTCACATGTGCACTAACAATCAGATACGCAATGTTTTTCCAATTTTTTTTTATTAGCGCCTGGAATGTATTGGTTGTTCAGGAGTATTCCTAAACTTCACTATGACCAGCTTTGTCTACCATAGCTTATGTGTGTGTGTGTGTGTGTGTGTGTGTGTGTGTGTGTGTGTGTGTGTGTGTGTGTGTGTGTGTGTGTGTGTGTGTGTGTGTGTGTGTGTGTGTGTGTGTGTGTGTGTGTGTGTGTGTGTGTGTGTGTGTGTGCGTGCGTGCGTGCGTGCGTCTGTGTGTTTGTTTGTTTATGTGTGTCTTTGTGAGACTGATATAGGGAAGTTAGAAGTTACTACGTACTGTATACTAGATTAATACAATATAATGTCATTGACAGTTAACATTTCTGATCAAATAAGTGCTGCGTATCATTCAATTTAAATGCATACTGTTTACATTTTAATCTCGTTGAATAATGCATTTGCAAAGCTTTCTTATAAAGAATATAACCAAAAATCAGTAACTAGAGACATGTCTCACTACTTACACTGCATTTAAAACGCAACACTTTGTGTTTTACAAAATGATTTTGCATGATATTGTGCTAACCTGATCATCTAGATATGATCATGCTAGGCTATGATAAACAGTAAATGTTGCCGGACCAGACTCCCTCACATCAAGTATGACGACAATTCAGGGTTCAGCTTTCCATATTTTTTATTCTGCGTTAAAAGAACTTTGAGATTCTATTGTCTATCCCTCTTTGAATTATTCTCCAAATGAGTATCCAGGTTATGAACAAATAAATGAATAATTTTTTCGATGAGGAAGGGAATATATGGTTATTAGGCTCATCCTGGTTTTCTAAATTTGAGATATAGTGTTAAATATGAAAGATTATTTATATCCCATATACATGATTAATAGTAGAATCCTGGTTACTGAATATTACTGTATGCTATTTGCACAGATGCTGTGATGTTTACAAAAAGGAACCAGCATTAGGAGTTGAGGGGGACAAGAGCAGAGACCTACAAACTGAAACCTACACAATGCATTTAATAGCACGTTTCATTGTTAATGCTGATTTCCTCTCTGGTCTGAATTACAGCTGTCCGCTCGCATTGTCTCTCTTCTTATTGTTGAACTGGCTACTTGCGTCGCCATGTTTTTAAGGGTTTACTATGCTAGCCAAAAATGTTTTTAAATGTTGTTAGAGCTTTCATAGACTAAATAATGGTTCTGAGGACTGACTACAGGCGTTTCCTCTTTCACCATCTGGCTATTACATTCATAAACAAGCTTCAGCGTCATGTTGTCTTGACCTGGTCATTCATGATGAAGCACATTTCCTTACATTACATCTCCCTTAGCTTCCATCTGTCCTCCATCTGGTGGATAGATGAATCATTGTAACTGATATCTGCATAATGCGCCAAAGCCAAGTCACAAGTGAGCCACGCGTTCACTATGTCATCTGGGGGGGGATTTATTTTTACCAAGGACCCTGAAAGGACCCCTTTACGGCCAGCCGAGGTACAACTGAGGAGGGTGGGGAAATTCTAAGTGGCTGTATATCTATGAACATTGTTATAACATGTTATAGATGTCTGTACCGTCATAATCAATTTTTCCATCGTTGTTTTTGTCTCCATCCTTCATCAGTTCTTCAATGTCGTCTTCTGTGATGGCCTCTCCAGTGGACTCAAGCATGGCCTTCAGCTCTTCTAAATCTATGTAGCCATCTCCGTTCCTCAACACAAGATAAACAAATCAGTCTTATTCTCATCTGTAATGAACTACGTCATTTCTTTCCAAAATGTTGACACATTATTCAAAGTTTTTTTGAGAAATATTTTAAGTATCACTAGTCAACAAATGTTTCTTTCATCAACTTGCAGATTTTTCTAAATACAGCAGCTCTGTGCAGAACCTACTTGTCAAACATGCGGAACAGTTCAGCCAATTCCTCCTCTGATTTTCCTTTGCTCTCCTCCTTCATACAGCGGACCATCATGACCAAGAATTCATCAAAATCCACTGTGCCACTGCCTGTCAACATACACTAGTTATATTGCAGTTGTTATGCAGTTATTTAATCTCTTAAGATCCAGTTTTTCTTCCATTGCATTTGGAGTAAAGTTGCTCTTATGTTCAATGTAAAAATAATTTTCTTCCACTCAATAAAACTCCCATGCCCCTAATGCCTACAGTGGGGTTACTGCTGACATACCATCCTCATCCACCTCATCGATCATCTCCTGTAACTCTTCTGGGGTGGGATTCTGTCCCAGCATTCTCATCACCTTCCCCAACTCTTTGGTGCTGATGCAGCCATCCTCTGCATCTTGGATGAAGATGTCAAACGCAGCCTTAAACTCTGGAAGGGGACACAGCAACCGTTACTATCTGATACGCAGACAAGGCTGATAACTAATGAAGAGAATCCATGAGCACAATATAACACCAAGATGGCTGTCATGAAAACCATGTAGCAGCAAGGTTGGAGCTGAAGGAGTTAGCAACAGGACTTTTCTGATTTATATGGAATCAGACCTATTGTCTCTGGTGGCAACCATTAAGAACAATTCTATAGAAGTACCAAATCTTCTCACTTATTGTCACGTATAGGTTATAGGTCATGTAAAGGCATCAGTATTATATAGACTTTTTTCCTAACCAGTTAGAAGTTCTCTCACTGACTTTAAAGGTGGGGTAGGTAAGTTTGAGAAACCGGCTCGAGATACACTTTTTGTTATATTCCATGGAATGCTCTTAACATCCCGATAGCAATGAATATCTTAAGTGCTTTGACAAAAAATCCATACAAAAATGTCATCTGTGGAAGCCGTAGTACTGTAAAAAGCACGACCAATCATTTTAGCCGGCCCGGCTAAAATAACTGGATGGCCTACCTGCCTGTCAGCCTTCCATCTGTGCACAAACTTATCTCGTGCCCTCATTGGTCATGTGCGCGTTCGTGTGTGTTGGAGGAGGGGCTCTGTAAGGAAGTGGCAGATTTTTTCCGGCTGTGTATTTTCAAATCTAGCGCACTCGAGCTGGTTTCTCCAAAATTACCTACCCCACCTTTAATGAAGTCTATACTATAAAATAGTATTGTTAATAGTAGACGTATTCATATTTGAAGAAAACGATTAAGTATATTAGCTTAGGAGTATAATGGTTATTATGGATAAAATGAAAGTAATGGGTCAAAGTATTAACAGTTAAAGTTTCCTCACCATTTTTCTGCTCCTCTGTCAAGTTCTCAACCTTTAAGGAAAGCAAATAATGCTGATTATTGTCATTAAATCACTGCCAGAACGATGGCTGCTCTCAGTGCAGAATGACTGCAATGTCACTCTGCTTTCCTCACCTACTATTCTTGTTGTGTGGTAGTACAAAGGGGGGATTTTTGACACATGCTGCTGTCTGGCTGGGTCATTTGTTTTAATAGCAACCAGCTGTCCCTTCTCTTCTTTCCCTGAGCTGTCTTTGTGTTGGCCACAGACTGAGCACAGCAGCCTCCCTCTGTCTGAGCTCATCACACATACTGTTTGAATGTTATACAAGTTGAATCAACACACAAAGACTTTAAAACATAATGAAAATAGGCATGCAGTCAGGATACCATTTCATTTACTCCAATTTTCTTTTTTGTTCTTGTTTTATTAGTTAGGTTTCATTATATTTGTTTCTGAAGGTCAAAGTCTTAAAATGTTAAAAACTATTCTGTAATCTACATTCCTGTTCCTTTCTCTCTGATGTATTGTTGCACACATTCTGACAATATAATCTAAACCATTAATAGAGCTGCACAAATTTAAAGAGCATACAGTTGAAACAGTCTCAACATTGGTTTGATGTATCTTTTCAAAGAAAACATGTACTGCATTGGATTTTACGTTGTGTGTTAAACATATATTTTGAATTCATACGATATTTTGAATCTTTACGAATCTCACAAAAAGATAGGATCAGAATGTTCAAAATGTTCTGATTATTAAATGTTTCAAAGTTAACATCTCCAATGGAATTATCGTAACTAAAAGAACTCACCGCTGCTTTATATACATCATCCATGACTGCTGCTCCTTCCCTGCCTTTCACCTACCACTGCACTCAGAGACAGCAAAAATACTGAGAGCAATAACTGCCTCAGTCTTTATTGTTGGAGGAGGGTGGCACTCAAAATTCTCCAAGGATGATGGAGGGAGGAGTAACTAGAGAGAGATCTATAAATAGGAAACAACAGAAGCCAACCAACAATAATTTTAATGAAACTCCACCTGTCATTTTGACACGTATTCTTAGAATTCTCCTTTAGGTATAAAACACTGTGTAAATATTGAAGTATTTAGATGATTGGTGAAATGACTGATCTGTTGTACTGCACTGCTGATTATGCTTGAACAGAACTAGTTTGTATGACTTGTTGTTCAAACACGTGGGAATCAAAAGTATGTCTACTTATTCCTGCCAACTGTCAAGAGAGGGGTGAAACGCAGTATTGTTACACCCTGGAGAAAATGTTGCCCATGCTTTATCACATAAAGAGTTACAGATATTATTGTGTATGTAATTGAAAAACACTATAGAGAAAGAAATTCAAACCCTTACTCCTTTCTCACCTCGGCACATGGCATGCTTATTTAAAGCCACAGCTAACCTTAGATATAGCTAGATTAAACTACTCTCTCCTGTTAGTATCAAAATATACAAGTGACCTCTTAATAACTGAGGCTGTTATAATAATGAGGCAAAAGAATACTGTATGACAAATCCTTGTTTTGATAAATACTCTTCTGACATAAACCAAATCCCTATATATTTGTTTTTAAAGGTTACCTACGATTTTCAGAGCATGAATGTTGCAGCAAACCTGAGCAGAGAATGAAGTCACTCTCCATGTGTGTGTTGTAATCCGACCTTTAATGCGCTTTGTTAACGTGGCCAGGCTGCATGTGATTGTGAGTGGCTAGCTAACAGTAGTTTCTCTGCACTCTTACGACAGTTAATGCTTATCTAATGCCCCCCCCCCGTTTTAACTTATGAGCACGTCTCTGGTTAACACATACAGGTTAAGATAATTGCTTTTGCATTAGTATTTTGTGGTTTAACTGTTGGTTAAATTGACAAATCTATAAAACTAAACATAAGATAAGAAAATAATGATAAATTATATAAGTATCAGATGACTGACTGACATAAACAGAACCAATTTATCTGCAATAAGATAATATAAGCATCTAATCATCAGTCAGTGTGAAATGTGCTCACAGGAAAATCATGTTTGATAGCCCTGGCGACAATTGAAATGGCATCAGAGAGAATGTTTTTTAGGTCACTCATATCCATTTCATCATAAACACATGAGCTCTCCATATTTGAACATGTTGAAGGGCAGCCACTTAAGTTTGATAGAAGGAAACAAAATGTTTACTTTTCATTACTACTTCTATTCTACTACTTTCCTGATATATTATGATGTTATAGAGTATGGAGTAGAGTCGTGTTTCTACATGACAATAGAAACACAGATAGAACTATTATTAATGAGTGTCCTTGACTTAAAATAGTAGTCCTCTACCAGTGGGTAAGGTAAGGGAGGGACTTTGGCAATAAATCTCTGTTGTAAGCCTAACACTATGCAGGACGGACAGATAGCACCTGCCAATGTGCAGCAGCTGTAGAGTGAGCTCTGAGGTCAAGCCTCTCATTATAGACCTAGTCTTTATAGTTGGAAAGTAATAATATAACATGTCTTTTTTCAAACTGACAAAGATGACAAGAAGTTGTAGCTTTCAAGATAATTACACAGCTTCATGTCAAGCTCCAACAGATACTGACAGATAACACACTGGCTCAATACCCTGTACTGTACTGTACTGTGGTACTGTAAAGGAGCTCTTCAGCAAGGCACTGAACCCCAAACAGCTCAGGGGTGTAGTGCTGCAGTAGCATAAGGAGCCATACACAAGCTGCGTTTTTTGTGTGGCTGTGTCTTTAGTTGAAAGCCCAGTGGCATCTGTTCATCTGTCATACAGGAGCCTGGCAAGATGGCGGACTGAGGGCTGTGTTTACTCAGAGCGAGATTTTTGATTATTTACCCCCACCAAAAAGTGAAAACTGACTGTTTAATCATATCAAAGCAACAAAGAAGCGAGAGATGGATCCCAAAACACGTGAAAGGGATGCAGAAAAACCTCAGGAGGAACACGGTTATAGGATGGACGTGGAGCTAGCGGCTTATCTTGAAGAGATAAGTGAGTCCCTGCCTAACTCCCTCTAAAGGAGTTCATGCTAGAAAAATTACCAAACAAAATCCAACCGCTGCTGATGTTCTATAGCAGCTATTCAAGCACTCCATGTTAGATTTGACAACCAAAAACAAAAAATGGCGGAGTTTCACACAGATGACTCAAAGCACTGTGATGACCGCCAATATTACAAAGTCAATCCAGTTCAACGCTGAGGGGTTGGAAGAATGTAAAGATGGGATCAATGGTGTGGAAACCCAGGTGTCAAATTTACGGAAAGAAGTTACGAGTTCACGGAGAGATCAAGAGAACAGCACTAATACAAACAGCGATGGCACTTAAGGATAAAAGGAACTAGAAAATTCCGAGATATTTTGACTGTGTGACTGAAAGTTGGGTGTGCGTCCCGATGCTAACATTACCCCCGCTGAGTAAGTATTAATAAAAAGTGGGTCCCGAGGCCTGACCAGTTGAGAACCACTGCTCTAGACTTAACGAGCTGTGCAATACACACTCATGTTAAAATCTGAAGAAAGCCTCTTTACCAAGCTCCAAACTAAGTTAAATATCTCAGAAAGTATCAAAGATATCAAAAATCTGAATAAGATTTTAATAGCTGAATGTCTTGTGATCATTTTAAAGTTGGAATGAAGTCTCTAGCTGAAAGTATGTGGAAGGAGTAGCATTTGGCGCACGGTGTGGTTAAAAGAGGATTTGAAGGTTCCTCCCATTGAGTTCCATGTTAAAAAAAGAGTTTAAAAAGATGAATATTTCAAAAAGTATTCCCATCATGTGCTGAAAAAGCTGAATAGTTTGATATTTGAATGGTTTCTGTAGCTGAAAGTATGCTGAAGTTATTGAGAGCCAAAGTATTGGTTGAAACTAGAAAATGCATTTCCTGCTGAAAATGCGTGTGAATGCTGTATACTGTGAACATTTGTGGCTGAATTTAGCTGAAAATGCAGAAAAAGCTGAATATTTTATTAGCTGAATGGTAGCTGCTTTTAGCTACAAAAACCAAGTAAGTGTGTTGCTGAACTTAGCAGAGAAATGCAGTAAAGTGAAATGATTTGAATCAAATTGTTACAGCTCAAATGCATTGCAATGACTTCAATGTTAAAAAAAGACTTTAAAAAGCTGAATATTTTAAAAAGTATAACATATTTTGAAAAAGTTGAAAGTTTCCCATCATGTGCTGAAAAGGCTGAATAGTTTGATATTTGAATGGTTTCGCCCAAAAACATTTTTTTGGGCGAATTTCAGGCACTCCTCCACTCTGTTTTGAGATCAAAGCACTCTAGACTTAACGAGCTGCTCAATACACACTATTGTTAAAAACTGAAGAAAGCCTCTTTACCAAGCTCCAAACTAAGTTAAATATCTCAAAAAGTGTAAAAGATATGAAAAATCTGAATAACAAGTTGTATAGCTGAAGGTCTTGTGATCATTTTAAAGTTGAAATGAATTCTCTAGCTGAAAGTATGTGGAAGGAGAAGCATTTGGCGTAAGGTCTAGTTAAAAGAGGATTTGTAAACAGCATTCGCACTAATAAGAAGAAGCTTAATATTTAAAAGAAAAGGTTTAAAAAAGCTATAAACAACAACATGTATAGCCTCAATGTCCTGAAATAGCTGAATAATTTAATAGTTGAATGGTTTCTGTAGCTGAAAGCAGGCTGAAGGAGTTAGATATTAAATGTAAGCATGGGTGTAGGAAGCATCCTGAATGTGGGGGGGACATTTTTAACGGGAGGTGTGGGGGCGAAAAAAATAAATAGATTTCCTGTATTCTGGTGCATTTTAACAGGTGGTTTGATACCTTTATGTGGCTATACTAGCATGAGGAAAATGATGGGTACATTTTGTAATTTCATCCAGTAGTAAAGAAAGGAAACATATTTGATTATTAATTCAGAGCCGTCTTTGAATTAATAAAAAGCAGTTTAAATGCCCATTTTTTGTACATTTATATACAACAATAAATATTTGTGAGTGCATTGAGAGATATTGTTGTGGAGAGTCATTTATATATAAATCGCAAAATACATTTGTGAATCCTTCTGTGAGCATTTATTAATATTGAGACTGATCTGACTCCATACGGATGTTAAGTTCACCTAGGAATGGTATCATTGACTTAAATGTTCAAATAAATGTTGCTCTTCTGTCTATATTGGTCATATGATGCCCCTTGACTGAAATGTTTCCTGTTCAATATCCCCACTGATTTCCTTAAAATCCTGGGATGAGAGTCCACATCACAATTTACTCTCAACTGTCATTTCCCTTTCATCACTCACCTCAGCAATGGACCTCTCTCCACTGTCCCTGTATTCTGCCTCTGACTCACTCTCAAGTGCCTAGATGTCAAGAGAGGTGGTGAAGTGATAATTATTTATTGAGCAGTATACTCTTTCACATTGAATCATAACAAGTCATACTGAATGTAAATACAATTGACTCTAAAGTAAGTCCCAGTCTGTGACAATGGACATTTTGAAGACTCAAAGTCCCAAGCAGTAGGTAGAATATTAGCTAGTCTATGTAATGTGCACAGAAAATAAATAGTTAACTGAATACTGGGATGGAAATAGCCTATAAGCACTCAGTAAAACATAAACACACACAAAAAGCTTCTGAATGATAAGAAGTATAATTAAAACATAATGCACATTACCATTTTGAGAGAGAGTACCTAAATTAAAGAACTCAGAAAATAATCTCTTATCGAACTGAGGCTCCAGTAAAACACACTGACTGCGTCTCTACATGGACATCAGTAAGCCGTTTATGAGTATTATCCCGGTTATGATCATATTGGGGATATGGTGTTTACATGAGCACAGAGAGA